AAGATAAGAGTAAAATAAATAAAACAGGAAATATATAAACAATAGAGAAAAAGAAATAAAAACATGTTTGTTCACTAAAAAAATAGTAAAATTGAAAAACGCTTATCTTGAATAATGAAGAACAAAAAAAAGTGAAAACACAGATTCCTAATATCAGAAGTGCCATGGAGCATGACTAAAAATGTTGCAGACATTAAACGAATAAGACAATAACGTAAAATAAGTATGCTTATAATGTGACAACTTAAATAAAATGAAAAAAAAAATTCTTGAAAGCTAAATTCTCAAAAGTGCTAAAAGAAGAAACATAATATCTGAATAACAACTAAAGAAACTGGATTCATAATTAAAATCTTTACCAAAAAGAAAATAACAGGCTCTGAGTGTTACATGGGTAAATTCTTTCAAAAATTTGAAGAAGAAATAATACCAATTGTACCTTTAGGCTTTAAGACAATAGCAAAAGAAGGAACATTATCCAACTCATATAATGAAGCCAGTATAACTCTGATATTAGTCAAAGACTTTTTTTGGGGGGGGGGTTGGAGTCTCACTCGGTCGCCCAGTCTGGAGTGCAGTGGATGCTCCTGGTCACCGCAGCCTCGACCTGCTGGGCTCCAGCGATCCTTCCGCCTCCTTCCGAGTAGCCGGAATTACAGGCATGCGCTACCACGCCCGGCTGATTTTTTGATTTATTGTAGAGATGAGGTCTCGCTGCCCAGGCGGGTCTCGAACCCGCGGGCTCAGGCAATCCACTCACCTCAGCCTCCCAAAGCGCGGGATTACAGGCTGAGCCACCGAGCCCGGCAGTCAAAGACATTATTAAAAAAATTCAAAACAATAGTCCTCATGATGAACAAAATCCTTAACATGAACAATTTTTATCTAAATATCAGCAATATATGTAGTAAAAAATAATAAATCATGATAATTTGGGATATTTGTTTTAGGAGTGCAATTCTGTATGAACATTTCAAAATCAATAAGTATAAATCATGCTATTGACAAATTAAAAAAGAAAAATCATAGGAACCTCTTAATGGATGGAGGTAAGAGTTCAACAAAATTAATACACTCATTTAAAAAAACAACTCTCCACAAACAAAAAAATGAAAAGTTAATTGCTTATGGACATAAAGGTCATTTACAAAAAAACAATTCTACAAATAACATCATAATAAATAAAAACGGAATGTTTGCCATCTAAATTTTGGAACAATGCAAAGATGTTTAAATAACTTCTATAGATCATTGTACTCAAGGTCCAAAAGAGTGAAATAGACAGTAAAATGTATTCAAAGGTACAAAATTTGGGAAGGAAGAAGTAAAAACTCTATTCATTTATTGGTGACATAATCAAGTGTTTTGAAAATCCTTAGAAAGCAAAAGCAAAAACACAACAATAACAAAACCAACAAAAACCAACAAACAAAAACAAGCCAAACGAATGGTCAAAAGAGCAAGGTCAATGCATAAAAATTAGTTACATTTCAATGTTTTGTCCATGAACAATTTGAAAATGACATTTAAAAAACTCTTTCTGCAATCACATCACAAACAAAATATTCAGGGATATATTTAACAATATGAATGCAAGACCTGTACATTTAAGTCTAAAGTAACAACAAAAAAAAGCTGAGGAAAAAAATCAATGAACACCTTAATAAATGGAGAGATAAATCACGTTCATATGTTGGAAAACTCAATATTATTAAGATTTCAATTTTCCCAATTGATTTGTAAACTAAATACAATCTCAATAAAAATCCCAGCAAGTTTTTATGCAGAAATTGATAAACTGGTACTACAATCTACATGAAAACATTTGTTTCCTAAAATAGTTGAATCAATATTGAAAATGAAAAATGAAAAGGGATATCTAATTTCATGATTTACTTTAAAATTATGTTCATCAAGAATAAAGTGGCACTGGACTAAAGACAGAAAGATTAACAGAACAGCATGGGGAATGCAGAAATAAATCCATACTCCTACAATGAATTGATTTTTTTGGCTCAAGTTTTCAAACAACTTAACAAACAAAGGAAAAAAATTTTTCACTATGATGTTAGGATAACTGATTATCTAGATGGAAATCAAATCAAAACAAACAAAAAAACCCCACCAAACTTTAACTCATACCACACAATATAAAAATAAATTTGAAATGAATCACAGGCCTAACTATATAGAAAAATCTATTAATCATTCAGAAGGAAACATAGGAAGTTATCTTTCTAACCTTTGTGTAGGCAAAGAAAGCTAACACAGGATTTAGCACTAGATATAAAAAAAAAAGAATGTCATTAAAATTTTTAAAATTCTGTTAATCAAAAGAAAATGAATTCACAAACTGAGTAAAACTATTACAGTTCACATATCTGCCGCAGGACTTTTAACCAGAATATTTATGTGCATAAATATGTATATGCATATATAGATTGCCTAAAATATACTAATTTAAAAACAAATGACCCAATAAAAATGGGCTTAAGATTTTAATGGAGACTTCACAAAAACCAAAAACAAACAAAAAATTTTAATTAATGATCATTAAGGCCATAGAAATGTGCTCAACATCGTTAATATCCAAGAAATGCAAATTTTAAACACAAAGTAATAGCACTACCCATCTACTAATATAGCTAAAATTTAAAAGTTTGACAATTACAAAGTTGGTCAGGACATAAAGCACCTGTAATATGTGTACGTTATTACCTGAAGTGTTAAAATGGTACAACCACTTTGGCTGTTTCTCACAAAGTTAAACAGTCCCTACCACTCTTCCGTTATGAAACAACTGCATTTTTAACATGTTTACATTAGCTGCCTCTTCTTTTTGCCTTACCTGATGATATGAAATTGTGCTGTCAATAAGACCCATTCCAGTGAATTTCTCACATTTCAGGTGTTAGCCTTTTTCTGACATCTTTTTGATCAAGTGCATAGCATGCTTTATTAATGAATTTAGCAAAGGACCCATACATGTAATTTATGAATGTAAACTCAGAGATCACTTCAGAATTTCTACATTAGCTGGCCCCAAATAGAAGCCAAGTAAAGAAAAGTACATCTCACTCGTACCACTGTTCATACACAGATATGACTAAACGGGGATTATAAATCGCCTTTTAGCCCAGATCATCTAGTCTAGTGGATTCACTTGTCACTTCACATTCCTGATGTTGTCATACTACATCATTTAGAGCAAGGGCTTGTATAAAAGGGTGGTTACTCAAGGAGCTTTGGTAGGAAGACTTACGCTTCACTCCTACATTAAACATTATTTTAATTGATTGTTCTGATCCTATCCATTTGACCACAAGTTATTAATTTATGTTATTTTCCATAGTTTTTCCCCAGAATATGTGCCACAGAAGAGGAGTTCCACAAAATGTGCCCACTTAAGGAAGCTGGAGTCAAATACATTTGAAAAAATCTGCTACTATAACCCAACCCCCTGTAGATATTTATATCAAATATTAATATATTACAGATTCTAAGAAGTCTTGAACTAAAGTACTTGATTGATTTTGTTGAACCTAAACGTTAATGGTATTTATTTGACTATAAAAGTCTTTGCCAAATAGCACCTATTTCTTCTCGTAGAAATAAGAGCTGACATTTACTGAACATTTCGTGTATATTTGCATATGTGATGAACATTTTAAAATAATCTTATGAGGTAGTGGTCTTATTTTGCCTATTTTAAATGTAAAGGAATAGAGACTCAGATTAAGTAACTTTTCACAGAGTTAGGATGCAGCAAAACCAGGATTTTAACACAGGTGGTCTAATTCTAGAGTACAATAATGGAGAACAATGATGATTCTTAGCAGTGTTCTCAGGAACTAACAAACTTTAGAAACTACTTTATATCATGTATTTCAGCCTTCTGTCTTTACACTGGCTTCTGAGGAAGAGAAAAAGTAAATTATCCTGACCCAATTCACTAAGACATCTTAAGAGGCATATACATCTCTGTCCTTTGCTCCTTACTTCTAAATTGTAATGAAATGTTGAGGTGAATTCTGTTTTTACATCAGCTTTAAGAAAAGTCTCATTTCAAAATGTTATAATTATGAACTAATTTTTTCACTTTAGCTATAAATATTATAGGCTCAATCAAACTCTAGGAGCCAGGATGATTCTGAAAAACTTGAATACATGTGTGATAAGTCATCATTATTTTTCTCCAGACTATTAAACATTCTTTAAGAGATTTTTCTCAAATTCTGTGTTAGGTAAGAGACACAGTCTGTTTAGTAGCAACACTTCACCCAAGAAGCTTCTTAATTTTTATTTATTGTAGAAAATATAGTGATATCTACATAGAAATCATTTTATTTAAATTATTTAAATCACAAATAGTAATTATGGGTAGTGGTATATTATAAACCAGCTTGAATGTTGACATATAGTGTTTAAAATGATAATATTAAAATTATATATATTTTTGAGAATAAATAGTTCATATCATAACTAATTGCATACAATTAGATGGTTGCTATTTATAAGATTTTATTATAGATAATGCTTCTAAGAATATCAAAGGATATATAATTATTGTTGTTATTTGTTCAGGAAAAATTTCAGAAGTATTAGGTCAGATGGTATTTCTTTTATGACTTGAACTCTGCCATCAATGATTTCTAAAAGGATCTTTAAAATTCACCAAAAATATGGGGCTCTACCAGTTTTATTATGTCCTTGGTAGTTTTGAATATTTTCTTTATTTTTCATGATTGTACAAATGTGCCTCATTATTATAGATCTGTAAGCCACATTTGTTCACATAGTAACTGGCACTATCAGAAACAATATTTTGAGAGTTTATAGATGGAAACTTTTAAACATTTCATTCAACACTGATTCATTACTATGGGTCAGATGTTGTGCTAGGTGCTGGGGCTCTGTTGTTCTCAAGCTCTCCTTTTGTCTTTCTTCACCACAGTGCTACATTTGAAGTTCACAAATTCATGGCTGCATGCATCCATTACCTTTCTGTTTCACTATGGCTGCTTTCTCAACTATCCCTTTGGCATTTCTAGCATGACAGACATAGCTGCGCTTGAGATCCTCAGGGGTGACTTTCTTGATGCTCAAAATCTGAGTTCGCGTTTCATCTTCTGTTCTACTGTGACTTATACTAGAAACAAGAAAAAGAAAATCAAAGCATTTGTGAGATTCAAGGGCTACTCATTGTGTATGGATCAGACAGACAAGTAAGCAACTTCAGAGCTCCCTTCCCCCAGATGAGAACAGAGGAATGCTGATAAGCTGAGCTGCCTGTAATGCCATGGTCACAAAGGGGTATATCAAGACTCCAGTGTTATAACATCTATACTATACATTATTCGACTGTCTAGATCAAATCCCAACGTTGGCTTCTTATTGTGCATCTCTTTTTAAAACAAAATGTTTTTTGCTTAAACTTGAGGCAGGATGCTGAATGCTGAATCTGTTTAGAGAGAAGTTTCTGGGGGAGACTCATTTGGCTTTGATCCAGGTTTTGCCATTTACTGACTAAATACTTTGCGTAAGGTAACTACTCTTTTCATTTCTGGAGTTCCTCTTTTGTTAAAGAGAAAAGCAGTAATGCCCACATAATGCATTATGTGTATTAATTTTGTTAAGAATTCTGAGGACTGAGTTACTCATGTTACTGCATAAATATTGGAACAATGCTCTATAAATATTCATGTAGGCTGTAATTGTTATCCCAGGAAATAGCTGATGCATTTCAGTGACTCCCAAAGCTTGAATTCTGAGCACAGGTAAGGTATTTTGGTCAAAATTCTGAAATCTCATGGTTAAATCCTAACATTTAGAAATAGTAACTGTTCAGAGCAGGTAAATTTTGTGAAAATAAAATGTCCAAATCTCGGTGAGTCAGAGATCAAGTGCTTTTCCTCTAAGATCAAGATTTAAAATCCTTTTGAACCCCTTTGCTCAAAGCAAAAAAAAAAAAAATATATATATATATCTTCTACAGTTAACTGCAATCCAGGTTCTTCTTTAGATTAGGCTTACTGTTAGTCATTGTTAGTCATGAGACTTTAGTTAAGGCCTCTGGTTTAGCCTAAATTCAACTTCACTGTTTTATGAACGCTTAGTATGTTTCAATAGCAGCAAGGTGGAACAACATGACTTTCCCTATTATTCATTCATTATAATGAGGATGAAAGGTACAATGTCCAGAATTCTTAAAATGATCAGAAACCCTCCCTTCAAGTCTCCAGCCACATCTTTCATCAGTTACTTCTGCAAAAAGTACTCAAATTTCAGGAAGCTCCTTTTGTGCCTTTGACTATGTTCTGCTTCTCTAAGCTCCAGGCCTTTGAACAGGATATTTCTTTTATCAGGAACATTATTTCCATTTCTTTATCTAACTAATTTTTCCTTTCTTCAAATCTTGATTTGGGTACCAAATCATCTGAGAAGTATTATCTTATGCTAATTCTAAAACTGACTGAATCCCTATTAAATCCTTCCATAATATCCAGTACTTCCCAGTCATTCTATTTATCTCATTAAAATGAAATGTCCGCTCTATCGTTGTTACTTTTATAAAATCTATCTAGTTAGGGAGTATGTAGACATTTTGTAATGCAAAGTAGACATTTTATAATTTCTGCACAAAGTCTGAGCTTACTAATAGGAAAGGTATATCCTGTAAATTCTAGAAATTCTAAAAGCTTAAGATCTACTAGCACATAGGTGATAAAGCTATCATCTTGTAATTACTTTGTCATGTAGTTGATCAGCTGCAATTTTTTTTAATTGTTGCAGTGAACCAATTGTTCTTAAGTAACAGTATGCTTCATTTACAGCAGAATCTTCTATCTTCAAAGATCCATACTTTCTTCTCTGCTAACCCTCTTTAAGAAATCAGGTCTATTTAGAAGCAAAATGATGTATTTTTTTAAAGACTGAGCTGTATTATTACACATTCACTTTTAAAATAAAATTTCAAGAACACAAATGTATTTAGTCAATATTAAATACACAATTCTCAATTATAAATGAAATATATATATATATATATATAGGCTATATGAATTAAGAAGGAGGAGGAGAAAGAGAGGAAACACATGCTCACTGCAATAAAAGAAACCAAACATAACTACCTGAGGCACAAATATATAGGCTGAGACTCCATGACTGAGAAAAAGAAGACTACAACTATACTGACAGGCTTTCACGTATCCACAACCCTATACTGTCTGTCACCTTTTCATTCATGCAACATATGTATTCCCTCTACTTCTCAGTGAGTTTCATAAATGTGTGAAGCTTGCTGGACTTAAGACAGTAGGGCACATGCTGTTTGGACAAACTGTGGATCCCCAGGCTCAGACATTTTAATTCAGTTCTTTGTCACCAGGTAGCATCTGGTCCTTGGATACTTAGTTCAGTAACCCTGCTTTAGGAGGTAGCCACCAAAGATTTGAAATTCTCGCTGAGTTTTGTTAATTATAAGCAGGAATGAGAATTTGTATTTCCATGGACTATTATAAATCAGAGATCATTAGACTGGTAAACACAAGTTAGTCACTCCTTTGCCTACCCCCATGATACCTTTCATTAATGGTTACATCAATAGGGATGTCATCGGGCTTTTTTCCATCAATTGTCCACCAAACCTCATTTCGAGAGTCTATCAGAAAACTGAAATAGACTGTACAGGGGATGAGTAGTTCCTCTCCTAAAAAAGAAATAAAATAAAATGAAGATAAAGCAACCCATCAGTTTGTAAAATTGACATGGCTATCTATTCTATGGCTAATCAGAAGCTGCAAAAGTTTAGTGTACCTAAAATCCTACTTATGAGTAATTCTCTAGTGGACTACCATAAGGTAATGTAGTCTACTAGACTACATTAATCTTCATTCCAAAATAGATAAACAAAACCAAGAGAAAACAGTTATCGACTTTATATAAAATCACGAGTGATCCATTTTTAATACAATCTAGGTATGCTCTAAAATGACAGTATTTGTTTCAAAAGTCTTCGACAATATCCTTCTTTAGCCCTAAACATCCATGAACTGCTCTTCTCCCTTGTTATCCTCTTCACAAACAAAAGGTGACTAAGAAAAGATTCTTCAGATCTTTGGAGCTTGGCCCATGGAAGATGGGGCAATACCATTACAGAGGGATCTGGCTGAGGAGGCCCTGTCTCAAAATACTCATGCTATCAGTGTGCATTAAATACATTTTAAGAATATTTACGAATAGAAAACCGTATGTTATCCTTATGAGATGGAACATGGGGCTAGGAAGATCCCTAGGTGAAAAACAGTAATAACACCAATCATCGCAGTAGCAGGAGCAGCAGCAACACACTTACTGAGAACTGTGTACAGTTATTGTGCTAAATATTTATGCCTATTTTGTAACCTTCACAAAACACTATGAAGTTTAAAAAAAATAGACTGAGAGGGTACAAGTACAGTTTTGTTATATGGATAAATGAGGTATTTTTAAAATACATGTCTCTCACATGTGAAAGCTGAAGCTAAGAGATGTTAAAATGATAGTCATTAAAAATTGTTAATGAGTGGCAGGCCGGGATTTGATTTAGACTGACCTTCCATCCTAGCTTGTCCACACCAGTTCTGTTTCATCCCACTTTCCTAGATACCTATTAATATTGACTGCTTTTACTCTCAAAAAGTGTGTGGCTTACATGATAAATTACACTGTCACCCTAATTTGAACTTAGGTTTATCTAAATGAGTGATCATACTCTATCCTCCTTTCCAATGCATGACTCTTGAGTAATCCCTTCGGTTTTCAATATCAATATGCCACTAAGGAAGACAAAGAGAACATGGTTTCAGGAATCTTTCCATAAGTGTGGTGTGATAGGCAGACAAAGCATATTAGGTGATTAATAAGGATTTACCCTGACAGTACGTAGAATGTTCACATTACTATACACACCTATGGTTAATTCTAGAAAATTCAGTCCATTTGAGATTGGCAGACCCCTTCCTGTGTTCTCTGTTTTTGTTTTTTAAACAAGGCAAGTCATATTTACAAACTTATCTGAATTTTGGGGGACTGTTGTTTTCAACCTAAGAGGAGGGACCACCATAATAAAACTTGTTTATAAAAAATTGTGAATATATTCTTACATATTTAAACTTCAGTCACCTTCAAAATACTCTCCATTTGATGCAATACACCTATCACGATGCTTTTTCCACTGCACAAAAGTTTTTGAACTCCTCAGTTTTGAGGTCTTTTAGTGCTTCTGCTGGATTTTGTTTCACCTTTTCCACACTGGCAAAATGTTTCCCTTTGAGGACTTTTTTCACAGAAAGAAACAAGAAAAAAGTCTCTCGGGGCGAAGACTGGTGAAAAGTGAGGGTGGGCAAAGGAGAATCCTGCCATTTTGGTCAAAACTGCTGATGCTCAGCGTGGTATGTGCAGGTGTGTTGTCATGCTGGAAGAATCAGTCACCTGTTTGCCACAACTCACATTTCTTCCACAAATTGTAATGCAACCTTTTCAAAACTTCCAGATAAAAACTGATGGGTGCCTAGAATACTTACCTAGCAGGGGAAGACTGTACATCAAGGGACCTGCCCCCCTAAAAGATAATTCTGGTTTCGGGGGTCCCCTCTTGTATGTTGATCACTAATTATCTTCAGCACATTTTAAACAAACGCTTTTTTACACATCTGTACAAGTTGTCAGAATAAAAGTGGAGTTGCTTGTGTTAAACTCTAACAAAATAGAGTCAGAAGGCCATATGAAAAGGGCTCTCACACACAAATGCCTATTATAAAAACTATTACAAAGACTCTCCAAAAAGCACTATCTTGCATAATGGCCAGTGCAACCTTCTATAAAGAATACTACTGCAAGAACATCTGCCCAACAATTGTTTATTATACGTTGGACTGACCTTACCCTTGCTATTGATTCTTGCAGCCAAGGATAATTATTTCAGAACAGCTGATGTGACCTTCCTTATTTTGCCTTTAAAAATTCTTACGTTCCTTTACTTCCTGGTCCTGTCATGGGATCCCATGGCTCTCCTATTCCTGAATTACAATGTCATTAATTCCTGAAGAAACTTTTTTGGGAGGTGGGGTAGGGTAGAGCCATTCTCTTTGTTTTTATTTAGTTTGACACTTGTAATTGAGTTTGAAGTAAATTTATTGTAAAGGATGCAACATAAAAAATATTAAAATTTTCTATAGTTTTCTATTCACTTAACTATGAGAAGCTGTAAGTCAGAGGAACAACAAATTACCATTATTTGCTTATTTAGAAAGATTTTTTTGTCTAGAATGAAAAATTACAAAAATTAAAAGACCCAGAGAGTCACAGTAAATATTCAATAGTGTTCTGAATCAAAGTGTACTAGTTCTATCAGTTGTTACCTATTGTATTCACAGTCCCGCCTCCAAACCCCACCCCCTGCCTTTTCACAGTGGAGCAGAAGCTTAAAGAATATCTTTTTGCTCATGTTTCATCCTTGGCAAATCAAAGCACTATATAAACTAAAGTTTGTAAACCAAACAAACAGAAATCACTAAGCAGAAGAGGAAGACTGCTAGCAGAGGAAGAAGGAAGCAGATGCTGAAAGAGAAGTAAAACATCAATGAGCAGCCTATGAGATCAAGAAGGAGCTTATCCCCAGAACTGCCATGTTTCTGACAACATTTCAGTTTCAATTCATGTGTTTCTTTACAAGAGCCATCTATTTTCTCACATTAACATAAGCGACATTTTATTCCTTGTAATTAAGAGAAATGAACTGAAATTCAGAGACACAACCATAATTACCTGGTTCTTTCTCATAGACCACATGATCAGTGGGTGAATGGATCTTGGGGGGCATTGCATCTTTTGGAGAGCCTGTGGCAGAGAGAAAATAAAAAAGGGAGATGATGTTAAATCAGGTAGCCTTATTTTAAAAATCTGATCTACTGTGAACCTTGCTCAACTTCTTGGCATTGTTTGTCAATTATTTTAAAGAAGTCTGTAGAACAATATATACTCAATTACTGCACTTCATTCACTTAAAATAAGCAAACAAAACATGACATAATAAGAAATATAAATTTGGTCTCTGCTCTAGAACATGGCACAGGCTCCTAAAACCCTTGTTTATTTCTGAGTGATAGGGGTATAGAGGCATTGTTTGTTATAATATTTGGTCTTAGCCCCAAAACCCTGAAACAAAACCTTCTGAGACTCAGAATCGCTGGGGTAATGTGTATCTTTTTTAATGCTATTGAGATAATTGGTAGATGGAGTCCCTATATTGCTTCAGGATAAGGGACTGATAAACTGAAAGACTTAGCTAAAGTGCTAGAACCTTCAATTCCACTCCCAAACTTCCAAGGAGGGGAAAAAGGCTGAAGATTGAGTTAATCACCTATAATCAGTGAATTACTCAATCATTTCTATGTGATGGAACCTCCATTAAAAACCCGAAACAATTTGCTTCTGGGTTGGTAAAGACATCTACGTGCTAGTAGGATGAAGCACCCCAACTCGACAGGAACATAAGAGTCAGCACTCAGGACTCTTCCAGACCTCACCCTATGTATCTATTTCTCTGGCTATTCATTTGACTTCTTTATAGTATCCTTAATAATAAACCAGTAAGTGTAACTAAAGAGTTTCTCTGAGTTTTGAGAGCTATTATAGCAAATCACAGAACTTGAGGAGTAAGTGGAGGGATGTTCAATTTGTAGCCAAGACAGACAGAAGTGTGAGTAACCAGGGATGTACTACTTGTGATTGGACTTTGAAGTGGGAGGTGGGGCAGTCTTGTGGGACTGAGGCTTTAATTTGTGGTGCCTGTATTAACTCAAGGTAGGCAGTGTCAAGTTGAATTAAATCACAAGACATATAGTTGCTGTCCTCAGAAAATTAGAGAATTGCTTGGTGTTGAAAAGCTACACATTTGGTAATTCTGTCACCACGTGTTTTGAGCATAGAAAAGCAATTTTTGTTTTACAAAGAAAAAGTAAAACATATTGAGTATGCTCTATATTTCAGGATAGATTGTTTAACCAGTGTGTTTTCGAAAGCTTATAAGAGAGACTTCTTATACTACATGAATAATCGCATGTCATGATAAACATCAGTGGTTTCTTCTCTCTATATTTCTCCTCAACATGCCTAGAGTGTTTAGTATGAAACCTGATTAAATAAATATTAAATGAATGAATAAATGGAAAATTCAAAATCACAGGGTTAAGGACAGTACATTAGTTCATCTGATTACTAGCTATCAGTTAAATACCTCTAAACTAAAAGAAAAATATCTTGAAGAATTTTCCAGCATAGTGTTTAAGAGTATGGGCTCCAAAGACTTAATGACAGAGTTTGAATCCTGACTTGGCCATATACTAAGCATAAAAATTTGAGTTTTTACTTAATTTTTGAAAAGCTAATTTCCTTGACTCTAAAATGAGGATAAGTAAAACTCACATCATAATTTCTTTATGAGGAATAAACTAAGTAATATATATGAAAGCATTTCCTACTAGTATATAATAAGTACTCAATACGCCGAAGCTTTAAAAAAAAAAAAAAAAAACCTGTGTTGCTTAACAGTTGGGAAAGAATCTCCCAACCCACAGCTGTATCTGTCAACTTTTATATCAATAAATCAAGATAACCAAGTACATTTGTTCCCAACTTTCCAAAAATGGATATATTAGAAATATATATTAGAAACAACTGCCAAAATGAGTATACGGTGAGATTATTCATTTGACTTTTAAAATCCATTCATGTCAGGTTCTGAAGTTAGTCTGTTTTTTTCCTTCTGAATTAACCCCCAACTCAGTATTATTTAGAAAGTAAGCAATAAAGAAAAGAGAGAAGTGATTACAAAATTGTTTGAATGAATTTTATTTGCACTTTTTTGGGGTAATTTGCACTAAATCTGGTGTCAGACTAGTAGGAAAAGCCCTGAACAGAGACCCGCAATTTAGAATTACTTCTTCCACTCTTACTGTGTATCTCTAAACAGGTTGCTGCCTGTTGGTGGGCCTCAGTGTTTCTATCTATTAGACAATGGGGTATTACATAATATTACACAGATATACCATCATTTTTAACACAAATACATAGTGATATTTAGGACTCCTCCTCAAAAGTCACATATCCTGACACTAGTTCTCTTGATTTGCGGGACTGGTAAGAGTCTGACAACTGTCTAGTTATTGTTCTTTCAGCTTTCCTAGTTTCTCACCCCCTAGTCTTTTCGTGCAAAACTGTGGTTGAACAGTGCCAGTAAATACCTTCAGTAATAGCTACAGAAGTTTCACTACATAGGGAGACATAGTTTACTTAATCCAAGTAAAATATTTTCTTGACAATAATATCAACCACCATTCATTAATTCTCTACTGCTTGCGTGAAACTGCATGAACACAATATAAATATTATTTATAATATTCTCAAATATCCTGAATGTTAGGCATCTTAGTCCTAGAGTACAGATAAATACACTGAAACCTTGATCAAAACCATATTGCTAAGTGGCAGTGATAGAGTTTGAAGATATATCTGTCTGGTACTCTTTTCACTTTCCAAACTGTCTTTACTTCATTTATTCACATGTACGTTTGGTCAACCAATAGTTACTGAAAAATTCTTGTGTACATTGAATTGCTTAAAGCTCTGGGGATAGTGCAGTGACCAATAACATACGTGTCCTTTCTTTTAGAGTTCACACACTAATGTGTAATCAACTGTTAAGAGCCTGACCAAGATTATTGTGTCTTTGTTGTGTGTACTTAATACAAATCATGCTTACCTACCACCTTTACAGTCAGAGTCCTGGTGAGATGGAAGGTACGGCCATTTTCTGGATATGTAACAACACATGTATAATTTCCATTATTTGAAATTAAGGCAATGAGAAAACTCAAGTTCATACCTTCAGGTATCACATTATTAAAATCAAATATTTTTTCACAGCCCTAGAAAAAGTAAAAAAAAAAAAAGTTTACTCTTTAGACACACTCAGAACACATACAAGCACATGTACACTCACATCTAATTGTGCATAGACTATCTAAATATCTATACTGTACTTTTTACAAAACTGTTTTGGTCAAATAATTGACAAGGTTTGTGTAAAGAATAAATGAAATAACTGTCATTTCTTTTTTGAATAAGAGAAGTTAAAATTCTGAACTAAGATATGACTTCAAGAGCACAGGCTTCATGTTTTTAGGATTCAGCATTCAAATTGTGAGAATTCCAGGTTGGTAGTTAAGCAAAGTTGAAGTGTTGAAATAATGACTAAGAAAACTTGAGCAACTGCAAGCCCTACTATTTAGAAAACAATTATTATGTTAATATCTTCACTGATTATATTAATTCTGGAAATCAGGCCTCAATTTAGATGTCTGATTTTAGGAATTCTTTTTTTTTTTTTTTTTTTTTTTTGAGTTGGAGTCTCACTCTGTCGCCCAGACTGGAGTGCAGTGACTGCTCCCGGCCATCGCAGCCTCGACCTGCTGGGCTTCAGCAATCCTTCCTTCCGCCTCAGCCTTCCAAGTAGCTGGACCTACAGGCACGCACTACCACACCCAGCTAATTTTTGATTTATTGTAGAGATGAGGTCTCGCCAAGTTGCTCAGGCGGGTCTCGAACCCGCGGGCTCAGGCAATCCACTCACCTCAGCCTCCCAAAGCGCTGGGATTACAGGCTGAGCCACCGAACCCAGGCCAGGAATTCTTGATCACTCTGTTGAATTGTGCTGTACTAGTCATTTCCAAACTTTTTTTGTGTTTTCTTCTGCTTTATCCCATTTTTAAAATTGAGTATTACAGATTCTAGAATCTAAAAATAAATTTTTATGAGCTTTATCAAGTTCTAAGAGCTTATTTCTGCTCCTAATTCATATTTTCATATAACTGCTTTTTTAAAAAAATACTGAGATTGAACTATCTCATTCAACATAACTAGAGTTTTGACTTGAATCTCTCAGTCACTAAGTGGCTATATTATTTTGTTTTGTTTTTTCAAGAAAATAATCAACACATCATCTGTGATAAATATATAGGTTGAACATTTGCTTTCAGAAAATTTCTTGTTTTTTTTAAAAAATATCAATAATTCATTTACGTCAAAAGGGATTAGGTTATCTCTAAGGCCCTTTAGATTTTTAAATGTCTGGGAGTCTATTACTGACTTGTACTTTCAGTTTTTTTGTATTTACACATTTAATGTTAATTTTTGCATAGGCAAGATTTTTTTACTTCAATTCCTGAAGCATGTATTTTGAAATATGACAGTTACACTAAGAGGAATTCTTTGTCACAGGAAATACGTCTTTTAAGCACAGCGCTAAACTTTTGTTTCACGGAAAAGAACATCAAGAGGAAGCTAACATAAACTCAGGTAAGTTATTTTCTCAATGCAATTTCTCCTGTTTGGATAAGTAGTATTTCTAGATATTTGTCACATCAGCAAAAGATTTCAACTACCTTAGGTTATCACAAAGTATAAGTCCACAAAATCCTGTACTCTTATAATAAATTTATGTCAGATTTGGTTGAAATTGAGCTTATAATATCTATAGAAATCTATTTGATTTTTTGTGACACCTTTCATCTAAACAGTTCAAAAATACTTATTCCTCTCATTTGTTAGCTTAGCTGTATTTAAATCTCTGTGAGGTAGACAGAACAGACTAAATCTGCTCTAGGTTTACAGATGGAAAAAATGAAACAAAGATATATTCTAGATAAAACAGCACAAAGCTGAAACTCAGTTTTCTAAACAGCTGAATAAAGGTCTTTTACCAGATTCCTAGTTAAGAATGAAAACCTTTGGGGGAAAGGGGTGGGGAATGAATGAAAACCTCTCCTCAGCAGTGAGTTAAGGCTGTAAAAATTATACTGAGCCATGTACTTAATATGTATTCTATTATCTGCTCCTTATTCCAAATGTGTAATGTTTGTAATGTTCTTATCTTCATTTTATAGATGAGGAAACAAAGCCTAGAAAAGTTAAGTAACTATTAATGTCATAGCACTAGGCAGTGTCCGAACTGGATTTTGAATTTGGATGTACTTGTTTCAAAGTCCTTGTTTATAATTTCACCTAATACTGTCTCCTTATCCTATACAGTGGTCCTGCACCTATACCATGCCTGAAGTCAGCCCTTAATAGTGTGATGAGGCTCTATCACTTAAATCAGGTTGATTTCTACAATCACTGGTAAACTGGAACAGCACACTTTTCAGGATAAAAAGTTAGTTATTGTTACTGAACTTGTCAACAGCATTCTTTAAGAATGTGCTGAAAAGATATTTTTATATGTTTTAAACTTATTAGACCTAAAACATTTTAGAAAATGAGATGGATGAAATATCTTACATTATTTTTTAAAACTCATCAAAATAAGGCGTTTTTAAAAATAGATTTTTAAACCGGACTCGGTGGCTCAGCCTGTAATCCCGTGCCTTTGGGAGGCTGAGGTGAGTGGATTACCTGAGCCCGTGGGCTCGAGACCCGCCTGGGCAACTTGGCGAGACCTCATCTCTACAATAAATCAAAAATTAGCCAGGCGTGGTAGCGGGTGCCTGTAGTTCCAGCTACTTGGAAGGCTGGGGTGGAAGGATCACCAGAGCCCAGCAGGTCGAGGCTGCGGTGGCCAGGAGTGGCCATTGCACTCCAGTCTGGGCGACAGAGTGAGATTCCAACTCAAAAAATAAAATAAAATAAAATAAAAATAAAAATAAAAAAAATAGATTTGAGGGTACACGTACAGATTTGTTATATGGATTCATTGCATAATGGTGAGGCTTGGGTTTCTGGTGTACCAATCACCTGAATAGTGAACATTGTACCTAATAAGTAAATTTTCAACCCCCCCCTCCCTTTTGGAGTCCCTAGTATCTCTTATTTACCTCTGTATATCTATGTGTATCCATTATTTAGCTACCACTTACAAATGAGAAACACAGTATTTAATTTCCTATTTCTGAGTTTGGAAACATTTTATATTCGAAGTAATATTGTATGGTGGGGGTAATTTCAGGGCATTGTTGAACTATAAATGCCCATTATCTCTGGCCTGTAGAGTGTGTTAGCTCTTTTTGTTATAGGAAGCTTCATCTCTAGATCCTACAGTACAAACACCCTGAGACACACAGGATATTTTTAAACATAATAAATTATTCCTAAAAATAAATTCTGAAATTTTATAACTTTTTCAAAGTTTAGAATCCAGAAGAAAATAGATATGAACAAAGATTTTGATGACCAAAGAAGAGAAAATATGTTTCCAAATAAAAAAATGAGTTAACAGTAAGCGAATTTTCGCAATGAAACAAACACTCCTGACTAGAAGACAAACACTCCTTCCAGTTGACCCATCAGTTCCGCATTCTGAATACAAAAAAGAGAAGTAAAATAGAAGAACAATTTTTCAACCATGCAATGGTTACTGTGGCAACCAACCACAACATATAGGTGAAAACCAAAACAAGAGATGACTTTGAGTTCTTCCAGCTGAAATGAATCATGCAGGGACAGGAAGGGTGCAGGTGGAGAATGTCACGACAAAGTAAGAATAAGTGTTTCCATTCAATAAGCCTATAATGTGTAAAGAACTGTGTGAAGGCACAAAAATGGAGAAGACACAGTTTTAGCTTATAGGTATTCACATTCTAGTTAAGGATTGTGACAAATATAAAAAAAGGCATAGAGGGGTTGAGGAGTGCAGAAGATCAAATGAAAAACACTTAGTAAAGTTTAATGGAAAAGAAATGTTTGGGCTAGATCTTAAAGAATAACAGCTATGGGGAAGGAAGGAATACATGGGAAGGAAACACTCCAGGCACAGGAAAATGGTGGGAGGAATTCACCTGCACTCTTATAGCATTTTTCTCTCCCTGTCAGTGCTTACTTTATTATAATGTTTTATTCTCTTACAGAGCTCCTTCTTTAGAAAATTAACTCTTGTGAGGGCCAGTGGGGAGTGTATAAGTTCTGAATTTGCATGGCCAGCAACTTACTCAATACTTGGCACATGGTAAATGCTCAATATATTTGTGTCAAATGATCAAAGACGGGAATGAAAGAGGCCAAGACTAAGACATGGAGTTGATAGCTCATGGAGTATATAGGCAATGAGTATTTGAAATATAAGACATGGGGTAATGGGCTGTAGGGTGGATAAAAAGTAGAAGCAAAAGTACAACGAGTTTAATTGATTTATAAGGTCTGAACAGTTAGAGATATCTTCTTAAATTGGTATAAATTGTATTATACTTTGTTATGAAGTGTCACAAGAGTTCCTTAAATGAGTCACTTCCTTTAAAAAGAACTAAGTCATTTAACGTCCCTCCTACATGTCAGGCACTGCGTTAGGATTGGGCACATAATAGGCAGTAGAAAACACAGATGGTACTTATTCTCTAGAAATTTACTGTCCAGTCTAATTTATTCAATTATTTAATTAATTCCTAAGTACAACATATATTAGTGCAGTTAGTTGCCATGTGCTTCATATTCAAGAGAGAGAGAAAGAGAGAGAAAGAAAAACTACCTAGTACAGAGATGAGATATTAGTTAAGTGCTATCAAAGTACAGAGTGGGTGATACAGCTGTCTGAACTGGCTTTAAATTTAAACAATTAATCTTGAGTCTTCAGAGGCCCTAAAACCATATGTAAAATGCTACATGTATGTATATAATTCTATATGTGCATAGCTCTGAAGGAAAATATGATACACACTCTCTTCATGCTAAAGGTTAAAAATCTACACATAGGGAGTGTAGAGAAAGAAAAGAGATAAATAACCAAACTAAGTTGTCAGATGAAATTGAAGCAGGCTTTTAAAAAATAAAATATACAATGCAGACATTGTACTAACATCCCAACAACATGTGCTAACAAGAAGGCCAAGCCTGGCACTTTTTCAGAAATGTTTTTTCCTGATGGAACTTTGTCAGAAAAAGC